ACCAAAACGTAGCCAATGGAAAGGCTCTATCCCCAAGAAATCCTCCTACTCAAAGGCACCATCTAAATCGACAATCCCCAATCAATTCCTACCTACTCGAGAGGCAGTTACCAAGAATCTCCGGAAGTCAACACACCGGATGACTACACAAGAAGAGTCAAGAGCAATCACTCCCCATTCGAGTCGGTGCATGAGCTAGAGCAGTAAGCCGCCACCACCTTCTCTATCACGAGGATCAGCCATCACAACAAAAGTGGCATCAGAAGATAGAATTTTACACATTGTCTAGAGGATCAACTCCGTCATAAAGGAGTATCCGACAGACATAATCCACCGTCATCATCCGACAGATCAGCTCCACTACAAAGGAGTATCTTGAAGGAGGGATGCACATCATTCGAAGGATCAGCCCTGTTACGAAAGGGTATCCAAAAGATACAACCCACCTCTACTGTCCTAAGGGTCAGTTACCGCAGCATGGGAGCATTTTGAAGACAAGAGTTCACCACCTAGGGGTCAGTTGTCGCATCAAAGGAGCATCCCAGGGGAAAAGTCTTCACCAACCAAAGGTTCAGCTATCGCACCGAATGAACATCCTGAAGCTTCACACATATCGTCCGAAGGGTCAGCTTCCGTAGCAAGGAAGCATCCTGAAGACAACACCAGACTACATTCACAGTCTCGAAGGTCAGCCACTACGACAAGAGGAGCATACAGAGGACAACCGGGCAAGAGGGTTAACTCCTTCACCCACCAATCGACCTTATGGCACATTAGCCCTTAGTCAATTGGTCAGGTGAAGGGGGTCAACTATAGACCCCAAATCTTGACCGACTCTCCAATAAAGCCAAAGATCGCCCGTTTCGAAGATGGTCAAGACTTTATTAAGTCTCTAATAGCTTTTTCTAGGTTCTATTTAAGATAGATGAGGTTTTTAGAGGCAATAAAAATCAGAAAATCTGTTGGAAATAGCAGATGGCCGTCCACTTAGCTTGGACGGCCTGACATGACAACTTTTGGCCATGGACGACCGTCCACACTACATGGACGACTGTCCATGGCCACTTTTTGCCATGGACGGTCGTCCACTAAGTCCAGACGGCCGTCCACTTTTTCCTGGTCCGGTTCCATATAAATAGGAGCCCCTATTCCTCGAAATTTCACACATTTTCACTCCTACCACTCTCTAGGAAGCCTTTTGGCACTTTAGAGTGACTCTGAGCATTATTCCATTTTTCGAGTGAGCTTTCTGATTTCCGTTTAAAGTTGAAATCGGTTAAGGAAGTCTCCTATTGAGACGTCCGGCCCTCGGTAGAGTGACTTTTCTTTCTTTTGCGGGAGGAGCATGTCTGTAGAGTGCGGGGACTGCCAAAAAGTGTCATCAAGTTTCAAAGGGTTAATATAAAGCTTGCTTTGGAGGTTCCTTCCCTATTCTCTCTCTCTTTTACTGTTTTCTTTATCACTTTCTTTGTGTGCATTAGATAATAGGGCCATGTAGACATTTAAATTCTACAAGTAGATAGAATAATAGGGTAAAAGCATAATTTCTTTAAGTGTTTATTTTCTAGACTAGTCTATCATAAGGAACCCGAAAGGGGCATTGTGGGGTGCTAACACCTTCCCCACATGTAACTAACTCCCTTACCTGACTCTGGTTGTAATGACCAAAGTTGGTTTTTTCTAAAACCAATGCCTTCTGCTTTTTTTTTTTTTTACCTTTTTTGGTGTTTAAGGTTAAAACACTGATGGAGACTCCTCGAATCTTTTTGAAAACCTTCCATTTAGGTCCAACCCGGTTACCAGACAACCTAAAAGCATTGAACCACTTTTTTCAAGAAATGCGAGTCAATCCAAACCTATCGCGTCACTCCAACCGCCTCTTCTAACGATAGTGACACTTACGCTCTTCTCATCTCCAGGATTCTTGAATACAAAGGTGTCAATGTTGAAGGGGAACAACGGTCCTGGACACTTAATTCAAATAGAATGCGGGACAACACACTTAATCAGCTGCAAATGGTGAACGTAAATGGAGTTTATGTTCATAAAGATGATGCTCCTCACATGGCTGACGTGGCTCAAGATTTTGATGATGAGGACATGCTTGCTGCTGATATGCCTGTTGAAAATTTTCATGCTGCTGGAACATCATCTAGTGCTCACTCTACATCCCGTCCTTCAGTGCACTACAAGAAAAACACTAAATAGTGACCAAAAATTCGGTCACTAAATGATCAAAATCGGTCACTAACTAAAATAGTGACCGAAATAGTGACCAATTGGAATCAGTCACTATTTCCTTAGTGACTATTTTAGTGACCGAATCAGTGACCGAATTAGTGACCAATTCAGTGACCGATTTAGTGACCGAATCGATGTGACCGATTTAGTGACTCAGTGATCGAATATATATGACAAAATCTGTCACTAATTTTATTTTATTTTTTTATATTATTAATAAAATAAGGATAAACACTGATTAAGGAATATATATATATATATATATATATATATATATGTGTATAATATGAAAATTTCACTACCTAAAATAACCATCAAAATAATAGCACTAATTTTGTTCTAAATAAATTCATCACTCATTAATTAAATACTTTCTTACATATTGAAAATTCAATCTAAAAGTAAGTAGAATAAACTAAAATAAGAGTCATAATTCTAGAAATGTTAGAAACTAACAAAACAAACACAATATACAAAATATAATCAGTTCACAATTCAGGAGGTTGAACATCCATCTTCTCTTATTTTATCATTTTTCTGAATTTGTCTCTCATTAGTTAACATTCTTTCTAGGAGATCATCCCTTTCAGTCTCAATTTCCTCTAACTTGTGTTTTAATTGTTCAATCTCCTCTCTCATAAGTTGGACAGATGATGAAGTAGAGTCGTGACAAAAATTTCTCCCAATTGCTTTGCTTGACTCAGATCCAAATCCATATACTTTGCCTTTATTTATTCCAGCAACTTTACACCAAACCTGTAATTCATCAGGTGGAGAGCCTCCTGCAATAGATCCTGATTGGGAGGCGTCTTCCCATGCACGACTAAACTCTGCCTATAAACATTAAAATAGAATAGTTGTGAATTGGATAAAAACATAAAAAAAGGATACAATTGTTTAAGAAATTAACATAAGAAAAATAAGAAACTTACATCCACATGTGCTGATCTTTCATATTTACTAAAATTAAATTGGGAAAACAGAATGAGATAAAAATAAGAATAACTGGGGTTTCCATTTTTTTGTAAAAGAAGATCAAGTGTGCCCCTTTCTGTGTTCATTGTCTATTTCTATTTAGCACACTAACTTCCACTTCTCTAAAACACACAAACACAACACCATATTATCTCATCACAACAACAACTACTACTAATTATTTTTTAGCTTACCCTATACCTCAGAAATATGATGAAAATGAACATGACTTCTGAATACAAAAGTAAAATAATTGCCTCTTATTATGGACTGTGCAAAGACTTAGGACCGTGTAAAAGAAGATTTTTTAATAGTTTGGTTAATCAAAATATACATTAACCCATCTATAGGTATTTGAATGCTATATTAATTTATTCCTGGGCAACCATAGGTAATACTGACATACAAGGCCTTTCACAAAGTGAAACAAAGATGAGTGGTTTGAATAAGTCAAATTTAGCAATACTGAAATGGGGCTTTTATATCTTCCAAAAGTTTTTTGTATAAGTTATCCCACACCAACCAAACACTTTATTGTCTTTATTCACAAGAAATTAACACAATAATAGATCTTTTCATTATGAAGGCAGTGCTTATTAAAGTTAACATTACCCTCATAACGATTAACATATATAAGTAATATTAATTCTCATACAACGTTCAACACGTATTCACATTCCCTTGCATTTTTTTTTTGCCAAAGTAAATCAATCTAGACCACAAATAAGACTGTTTAGGGGGAGAGGCTCTACTTATTTACAGACAAATTTTACCAGTAAACAACCATTTATATTTGGATTTCAATTACAAATTTATAACATAAAACAAATTTTCTTAATCATGAAATTTGCATATTGAATGATTTCCAAATCATAGAGGAAATGATTTAATCTTTGGCTTCCATAGCCATCTTGTTTTATGAGAAAAAAAAATTTATTTTTTTTTATATTCTAAAATAACCATCACCCTTGTACTGAACAAGCAGTTACGTTAGCTTTCATAGCCATCTAAAATAACCTTCACATGTTATATAACCATCATCCTTGTACTGAACAAGGTTCACAACAGGGCACTAAAAAACTCTTCCCCTGAATGTATCCTGAACAAAAGTATAAAGGCTTAGTTTGTATCCAATAATAAGCAGACACAGATGGACCATCATACATCATGTCCAATGATACTAACTATGGGGGAGGGGAATGGTAATAGAAATTCCTTATTTTATACCTTGCAAGCAGTTACGTTAGCTTTTTTGTCTTCCCAGCTATGGACATTTTAAAGCAAATAGTGTCCTAAGTTCAGCTAAAAATTCTCCAGCTAGCAATTCCTACCCATGTAAAACAAAATTCAGATTCAAAAAAGCAGAGTGACAGAAAGCAATTAGTACATAAACAAGCAATCTCTAAAAAAAACAAAACACTATATTACAACACACATAAAAAACATTCTCCTATTAATCGCCATTTCATTGAACCAAAGTGAAACTATAAGTGCAAAGCTTGTAATTTCCCCCATAATTACACTACATTTAGAAACCAAAACATTTACAGGACAAAATAACAAACTAAAGAATGAACAAACAAACTCAAGTATGAATAAGTGCATCTTGCCGCAACTTATGAGAATTTGGCATCACAACAACATAGTCTGAATAGGACCCACGGTCCTTAATAACAGTCCAAAACGACCCATAAGAAAAAAAATAACCCCCAACTCAATCCAAATCCCAGACAAAAGCAATCAATAGTCGAGAACGATAAACTCAACATCAGGTTTCCCCACAGATGCTAGCAATCAAACAAAAGTAAAACCACAAACAACAGAATACAAAGAAAATGAACTTTGTACCCAATAATGTCTCTGGTTTCGATTTCCACCTGAGATCCCTATCAACTCCTCATTCACAGGGAGAGGCATTCGGCCATCCCCTTTTCAGTCAATAGTGGTGCGACAAAGCGAGACTGCGATGATTCACGGTGGTTGGCGTGGGGCGAGTCGTGGCCAGGGCTCCGCGGTGGTGTGCGCTACTTCGTTGAGGGTGACCGGTGAGTGTTTGGCGCAACTGGGCGTGAATCTGGCTTGCGGTGGCTCACGGTGGTGCTAACGGGTATGGGTCGCGATGGGGGTTGCACCGTGCGGTGCTAGGGTTAAGGGTGGAGACCGTGAGAGTGGAGTTTGCAATGGAGAGGAAGGAAGGGTGGAAAAGGCGAAGGCGCGGTAGGGTGATTTGGGGGTTGCGACTCCAGTGAGGGGAGAAGCGGGTTTGGTTGGGGTGTCACGGTGGTGGCTAGGGAGAGGTGGCGAAACCGCAGCAACTCAAGGCGCTGACCATGTCGCGACCGGTTCGATGGTGTAGGGTTAGTGGCGGTGAGGGGTCAGGCACGGTGGCTCGGTGGTGGTGCGACCATAGTGGCCCCGAACAGCGGTTCACAGTGACTACAGGTGAAGCATAAAAAATAAAGGGAGGAAGATTTGAGTGCTAGCTGGCACCGGTGAGGGCTATGGTGGTGCTGGGTGTGGGCTACAGTGGGGATACATGGGTCATGGGTCCTGAGGTGAGGCGCGGGGATCTATGGGTTATGGGTGTTGAGGTAAGGGTGGATGAAGAGTAAGGTGATGGGTGCGATGGGGGTGGCTTCTGCGAAAGGGAGTAATGATGAGGAAAAGTAATGGAGGCGCCGGTTGGAAATGGAGCTAGGGCAAAGTTAATGTACATGAATTTCATAGTTTCCTATATTTTATTGTCTTCGAGAATCAAACAAACTTTTCTCCGCACATAACCATGGCTCTCCAATGTTTTCGTCATAGAACAAGCGAATGTGTAATTAGTCACATAATTTACCGCGAGTAATTAGATACATAATTGACCACCAGATGAGCCAAGTATAATGGAAGATAAATGCTTGTTAAAAATTATGTATCAACCTCATGTCAGACATATGCTATTAATTAAAATTTATTCAAAAACAGTAAAATCATGAGATGAGACTCATTAAACAAGGTGCAATGCCAGAACAATTATGTTATGTGATTCTCAATAATTTCAAATATACAAAACATTAGCATATTTATAGCATTAACCATAATATAATCTTCATCCGTAAATTGATAAGAAACTAGTATACATATTACATTTTAAGTAATTAATACAAAAATTGATAATTCCTGGGTAAGTGTATCCATTTTAACCATTTTTTTTCAAAAAAAAAAACGATAAAACTTAAAATTAATTTTTAACTAAATCTTCACATATTTATGATTAATACTATATTATATTATTATATTTAATTAAATTTTAAAATAAGTTAACTTAATCTTTACCCTTTTATATAAAAATGATTAATATAAACTTAAAATATTTATCCAACTATTAAATTATCCAAGATATTAATATCAATTTAAAATATCAATTTAGTAATTAAAATAATTTTAATTTTTTTATAAATACATTGAAATACATATTTTATATATATATATATATATATATATATATATATAAAAGATGCTAAATTAATAATTAATTTAATTATTGAATTAGTGATCGATTTGGTGACTAATTTAATAATCAATTTTAATTTTTTTATTCACATGCTAAATTAAAAAACAAAATAAAATAATTATATTACTAAATTATTTAATAATTTACTAAACTATTTTTTAAATTTTTATAATATTATTAAAAATGTTATCAATTATTTTAAATTATTAAGTAGATTTATATTTAATATATTATTAAAATAATTTTAAAAAATATTTATATAAATGAAAAATAATCATTAATTTAGAGATTATTTGTTTAGTGACTGAAATTTTAGTCACTAAATCAGTCACTAAATATAAAAAAAGAAATTAGTAATCGAATTTTTCGATCACTAATTTCATTCACTATTAACCATTTTTCTAATAGTAACCGAATCAAGTGACCGATTCGATGACCGAATTAGTGACCGATTTCTGTGACTGAAATGTTAGTTACTAAATCAGTCACTAAATATAAAAAGGGAAATCGGTCACTAATTCAGTTACTATCAGTGACTGAATTTTTCGGTCACTAATTTCAGTCACTATTAACCATTTTTCTAGTAGTGGTGGAAGACATGTTGTTTGACATGAATCAGAGAATGCAAGAACTCTTCTCTATATCTCAAGAACGATATCAAGAAATTATCGGACGCATTTCAGATGTAGACGATCAGGTGTGTATTTTATAACACAGATTTGACGCGTAGTTTAATAGTGATGAGAGTGAAGAGTTCTAATCTCTTCAAATATTTCTTGTTTGTTTGTACTACATTGCTTTAATGAATAAAATTTTATTTTTGCATTGATTGAGGGGGAGCTTTCATTTTTTATTATAATCAAAATAGGGGGAGAAATTATTTAAATTCTCATATGTTTAATAATTTTAATGATGTCTGGTATGTTTAATAGTTTTGTTAGTTGTGACAGTTAAAACATGTTATTACAAAGGGCTTTAAAGAAAATTTTGATCCTCATCAAAAAGGGGAAGATTGTTAAACATATTTGGATATGAAGCTTGAAGATTTTGATGATGATTCAAGAACAAAGAATTTAAAGACTTGAAGACTTAGAATCATGTGTATTTTACTTGTAATAACTCTATTTTATGTTTTTAAGTCTGTATAATTAGAGTACAAGATAATCAGCACATAGTCCATCATCTGAAAACTCATTTTTATCAAATCCACTCTGTGATAATCGATTATCACTTAGAATAATCAATTATCCTGCACTGAAAAATTGTTTTTCTAAAATCCTTACTATGATAATCGATTATCACTCAGGATAATCGATTATCCCAGCTAGATAATCGATTATTTACACAGATAATCAATTATCTTGGTCCTATTTTACTATTCTGCGAAAATGGCTCTGTAATAATCGATTATCACTCAAGATAATCGATTATCTACGTCTGTTATGAGTTTTGAAATTCAAATCTATACCAATTTACAAAAACCCTACTCCCAATTCTTATGTTTTCGAAAATCATCATTTCCTAAACTCTATTCTCTTTACTTAAGGTTCTCTAAGGCTCTCTACAAAATGACAATACTTTTTCATACAAAAGTTAAGAGTTGTGATTGCTAGAGGACTTTGTGTAGGGAAGAAAAAGGGGCTTTTGAAAACCTAGTGTGGGCTAGAAGCAATAATAATCACTGAGTGGGTTTCTTGGTGGATTGTGTGTTGTGCCGTCTCTAGGAAAAGTTGTTGTTCATCCTTTGTGGATTCAAAGGAGGTGTTCATCTCTTGTGTGACTCAAGAGAGGTGTTTCCTATTCCTTATTTTTTTCAATTTGTAATCTGTTGTAACTTGTGATTATAGTGACAACGTTAATGCTCTTTTAGAATGATTAACAACTAGACGTAAGGTCTTTTGATCCGAACCAGTATAAATCATCTGTGTAATCTTCTTTCCCTTATCTCTTTACTTTAGAAGCATTTTAATCAGTGAAATTTGGGGAAAATTTTCAAAACCCTAATTTTTTATAAGAAAACAATTCACCCCCTCTTGGTTTTTGTCGCTAAACGCAAACATTCCACTGCGTGATTCTAACAATATGAGGGAGCCAACATATAAAATAAATATATTACACATTCAACAATACTAATTAAATTTACATTTTGAAAAATAAAGTTTATTTCATCTATCCTCTTTTTTCTCTAAAAAGAAATGAGTCTATAATTTTAGTTTTAGATATCTATAAAACTCAAACTGATTTTTTTTTCACATCTTAACATCAAAATAAAGTATCATAAAATATGAAAATAACTAATTTATAACAAATACAAAAATTTATATCAATGTTTCATTTTTTTTATATTACACTACAAATGCTACTTTGTTATAATAATAAGCACGTAGAATAAAGAAAATAAATTTGTTTACTATTTTACTTCAAATTTGTTATAATAATAAGCACAAAGAATAAAGAAAATAAAGTTGTTTACTATTTTACTTCAAATAAGTTATTGTGAGGTTTTTTTATAGTTTTTTGCCCTATGCCTTCTTGAACAGGAAAAAAAAACTAGAAAACAAAAGAAAAAAATGACGATTTTTATGTAATAGAGATGAAATTATATAAAAAAATTAAAAATAAAGAAAAAAACTTACAATTTCTATGTTGTAATAAGAAACCATGAAAGAGAAGAATATTAAAGTGAATGAGTAATAAAAATAACAAGATAAAAATGCGTAAAGACACAATGATTATGTGATAGAAAAAGTTGTAGTAAAAGTTGTAGTGCAAAAATGAATGAACATAGAAAGAAGAAAGAGAACAAAAAAAGTATATGTGAAAAATTATCTAAAAAAATAAATATGATATTATAATAAATGAAAAATTAAGAGAAAAATAAAAAATATTTATAATTATAAAATAATTTATTATATATATATATATATATATATATATATATATATATATATATATATATATATATATATATATATATATATATATATATATATATATAATGTTGGAAGGGGGACGTGGCCCTTGTAAATTGAAGATTGGTTGAACTATTGTATGTCAAACAACAAGGTGTGAGTAATATTTAAATTATTTCACTACATGTGTATGATTGATATATTCTGGAAATAATGTGAAATTGATTAAAGATTTAGAAAAGAATTTATGGAATGTACGGCAAACAACAAGGCATGAGTAATATTTGACTTAGGTGTATTATCATGGTATGCAAAGAAGTAACAAGTTGTACCTCAATCTTTTCTATGTGCGGAATATATTTCAACAAGCTTAACCACCCAACAAACAATTTGGTTATATAGAATACTTGAATATTTTGGTGAGAAATAATAATTATTCATTTTGATAATAAAATTAGTGATTGTTGTGGGCAAAAGTCCAATCTATCATTAAATAACAAGACAATATAGCCATCAAGCATCATTTTATTAGAGAAATGATAGAAAGAGAAGAAGGAGAAATTAAGTAGAAATTTTGCAAGTCCACAAATTTTAGGGAGAATGTTAAATAATATAATGTCATAAGTAGTTAATAAAGATTGAATGCATATTGAAGACATTTCAAAAATAATAAATTTTATTAATATAGTTATTTATATTTATAATTGTTATAATATCTGAGGTTTTCACGTCTTTATATTTATTATTAATATAATACAAAACTTAAGTGAAAAAATAATATATATAAAGATAATAAAATAAATAACAATTCTGTCCTCAAATTTTGTTCCTTTTATTCAAAGATTCTCTTCACAATTTTACCAAAAATAAATTTCTTACAATTGTTATATCAGAATCATCTTTAAAATACCACCCACAGTTTTGATAAAGATAAAATAAATGTACACAATATGAATTTCTTGCATTTTCATTGGTCAACAATCAAACCATAACCTTTTTAGTTAAATAATGTGATTCTCAATTCTTATTCTTGTCTCAATCCCATGAGTCACTGTTGAATTTTCGCGGACTATCTCTTATTGAATACTGCTTCCCTACAATTGTCATTTTAGACCCTGATCCTACTTAGACCCTACAAACAGATACTGATATGAAACCGATCATTTACCGTTTGATCCCAATCAAAGGACAGAGAGGCCGTGGCCCTGCATTCAAATGCACACAAAAACTAAACTAGATAAGTGCTTCATAAATATCACCACATTTGTCATACAGGAATAAACTAGACCAACCCATGTCTCACGTGTTTATGTCTATGTCTATATACAAAACCAGCTTAGTCCACATAATGCATTCCCAACTTACTGTGCCTATGAAGAATTGGTTAATTGTGAACATGAAGCAGCGCCACTTGCTCCTTCTCTTGAGCATTATTCTTCTCTTCCTCACAACAAGATCCCATGCCATTAGTATCAAGTTTTCTTCAGCCCCTTCAAGTTCAAGCCAACAACATGTACAAGCTCTTAATCCATGGGCCAATTCTCCAATCAGCAGCAGAGGTAGAGAGTTTGAGTTTCAGAAGAGAACGGTGCCCACCGGATCCAACCCTTTACACAATAAGAGATAGATGTTGGGTGCCAACGCCCATTTTTTCAAAAAGTATTAGCCAATATGCGTTCTTTCAATATTAATTTCTCGTACACAGGTGTCTATATTGATGTTGCATTTGCATCTGATATTAGAAAGAGGGCAGAGTTAGCTAGATAGTTAAAAGAGATTATGTTGTACAGTAAACAGGAAAAGAGAATTTTGTGCTTCTGAAAGCTTGAAACTGTATGTGGATTACAAGTCAGAAATTCGAATTTACAAGTGTTTAGCGTTGTAAATTTCTTTGCTATGAAGAAGATTCTTGTTTCATTGGAAACCAGGTCAGTGTTTTAAGAAAGGGTGGTGATTGACAAAGACCCGAAGAAGTAAAAACACCCGAATAAAACATCCATTCAACCTCTCTTATTTTTCATTTTCATATTATAAAATGAATTTATTGTCTTTAAATTTAAATCCAAAGAATCAAATCAGGAGTGTTGGATATGTGTTTCACACATTTAGATGAAGATCTATCATTTTCCATGATTCATATGATATGTGTATATGATTTTTCCACGATAGTCGTGGCTTTACTTCACCTCTTAGTTGAGATTGTTTGGTTGCTTGGAAAACCAACCATGATTTTTAATGTCACCATTCCCTATATGTATTCTAGCCTAATATACATATGTACTTTCAGTATAATTAATATACACACAAAAAATTATGAATTTGGTTTTATTAAACATTCTTAAATTTCTAAGTAAAAATATTTTTTTTAAAAGGGAAATGTAAAGACGGTTTTATCTAATTATAATTTTAGATCTCGTTAAATTAACGAACAAATGCGGCTTCACTAGTACGTAAATCACTTTTAACATCGGTCTTTCCACATCGGTTCTTTAAGAACCGATGTAGAAAGTGAATTCAAGACTTTCAACATCGGTTCCCGGATGAACCGATGTAGAAAACACTTTCTACATCGATTCTTAGATGAACCGATGTAGAAAGTCTTTTTATAAAATTAAGAGAATTGTTACTCGCAGGATTCGAACCAAGTACCTTAGAATTAAATATTAATACTCTAACCACTAAACTACTAAGATTTTCTAATAATAACATATAAATAAATTATATTTATATACAAATAAAAATGTATATCCATGTAAATATATAAATATAAAATATATAAATATAAAATATATAAATACAAATACAAATATGTTTATATATTTATATGTTGGATGTGAGAGCGCGCTCGAGAGTGAAAGTGTGTGTCAAGTGGGTTTTCAAAATTTGATGTCAAATTTGTGAGCGAATCTCTTTATATGAATTTGTAATTTAATGATAGAATATAATCTTTATAATTTATTTATAATAATATAGAATATAATCTTTATAATTAATTTATATAATGATATAAAATAAAGAAAAAAATTATTTTATATCATTATATAAATAAATTATAAAGATTATATTTTGTCATTAAGTTATAATCCATATAAAGAGACCCGCTCAAAAATTTGACATCAAATTTTGAAAATTCACTCGACACACACTTTCATCCTCGAGCGCGTCCTCACATCTAACATATAAATATATAAATGTCACTACTACAAAATTAGTTTTTTTCCGCCAATTTTTTTGCAAAAAATTGTTTAAATTTATAGAAAACTTATTTCTTGCAATTTTTATCAAAATTTTGCAAAAATATTCCCATGAAAAATGAGAATTTTTAGTAGTGTGTATTTGTATTTATATATTTTATATTTATATATTTATATGGATATACATTTTTATTTGTATATAAATATAATTTATGTATAAGTTATTATCAAAAAATCCTAGTAGCTTAGTGGTTGGAGTATCGACCTCCGACTTTAAGGTACCGAGTTCGAATCTTGCCAGTGACAATTCTCTTAATCTGATAATAATCTAAATTCCTAAAAAATATAAATAATATAATAAATAATAAAAATATAATATAAAAGGGAGAGGATCAATAGATAGGGTAAATAGAGAGGGGTTATGAATAAATAAAAATATATAAATAAATAAAAATATTAGACTTTATACATCGGTTAAATAATATAATAAATAATAAAAATATAATATAAAAGGGAGAGGAGACCTCTAGATCAATACATAGGGGTTATGAATAAATAAAAATATTAGACTTTCTACATCGGTTCCTTACAACCGATGTGAAAAGTCACACTTTCTACATCGGTCATATCTATATCAGTTCTAGAACCGATGTTAAAAGCCTATTTTGTACTAGTGCTTGTAACAATATGCTTCTAGTGGGAGTATTTTAAAAACCTGAAAAATGTATGAGGGGTATGAAATAGACCAATTGCATCCATGTAATGGACTAAATTCTCCCATATCATTGATTTAATATTGTTAGTATTTTAGGAAGGATAGGAAAGATGGTTTGATGTTTAGTAGTGAGATTAATGTAGAAAATAGTTTTTAGAAAGAGGTGGACAAATAGGATAAAGTTTGTACGAGAGAAGATAGTAATTGATCTTAGAAGTGTTATAAAATATGGAGGAGTTTGTATTAGATTTTCGACACACATTACATAAGTGACATTGCCTATTTATAGGCTTGATCCACCATTTTCTAAATATTCTACATAATTCTAGATTTTCTACATAATTATAGATTTTCTTAACTCTAGAATTATCTATCTTCTTCTTTCAACATTTCTAGAATCTTCTAAGGATTCTAGATATTACTCATATGGAATTCCTAATTCTAGTAGCATCTAGGATTTTAATTTCTAGATATTTCTAGAATTTGCATCATCTTTTAACCAATATGCTAGTTCTATCGATTTAGCTTTATTTGTGAATTAAAAAGAAAAAAAAGAATTAGTCGGTATTATTTATGACTAGAAACTTATTATGTTAATTAGTTTGTTAAAGAATAGTATCACTTGTGTTAGAAATAATGGTTGAGATCAAGACGGGGCTGACTTGATCCAATTAAAAACTTTTTGCAACTTTCAAATATAGTTTATGAATTTTAAAGATTTAAGAACCCAATCAATATTTGAACCAAATAAAAACAATCTTGAATGAAAGAAAAAGATGAAAGAAGAACAATAATACCAAGTTTACACTAGTTCACCCAATTCATCGGGTTACATCTAGTTTTCAACCAAATTTCAGTTGAGTTCCACTAATCAAATACAATTGATTACAAGAACAGATTGTAGAAAATCAATCTACAATAAGAACTATAACCCAGTTCTTGAACCTATGGCAGAAACCACAATTCCAGTTGCTTAACTTAGTGCCCACAATTCCAGACACCGAAAATACAAAGAGACGAGTGAAGAATTAAGATGCTTGAAGAAACTACAACAATCAAATTAATATATAGATGCAAAGATCCAATCACAGAATGAGTTTCATAAAAATCAAGAACAAAAAGCCTCAAGAAAGATTTCAAAAGAATTCTAATGAGTAAAGGGTGTTTCTCTCTTGGTAAAGATCTCCCAAGATTGCTTGAATGATTTCTCAAATATATGTTTTCAAACGTACATGAAAAATTGCTTCTATAGAGATTTTTCTAATTGACTGATAGGATTAATCAATTAATCTGCACTTAAATCGAATAAAACAACTTAACTTTAATGAATTATACTAGTGAAAATGTTTTTTAATTGATTAAAAAGGTTTTTCCAATTTTTCTCGAGATGTTTTAACTTATAAAAGTGTGGTTTAATCAATTAAAAGGGTTCTGGATATTTTCTAAAGTCGTTTTAACTTATGAAAATGAGGTTTAATGGATTAAAACAATTATGGATATTTTTTCAGAGACTTTTTAATTGATAAAAATGAGGTATAATTGATTAAAACAGTTTTGGATATTTTCTAAAGGTGTTTTAACTGATAAAAACGAGGCTTAATCAATTAAAACTGTGATACAAAAATGTTTAAGTGTATTTGATCCATTATTTCGAAGATATATCAATTCAAACTCTAACAGAAGGTATTCTAAAACTTCTTAAGTGAATTTAATCTATTATTTCGAAAATGTATCGATTAAAACTGTGACATAAAGTGTTCTTATGTTGTTTAAGTGATTTTAATCGATTATTTCGAAAATGTATCAATTAAAACTACAACTGAAGAACATATTAATCGATTAAAACAATTTTTAACAAATAAAAAATTCTTGTGGAACTTTATACTTTGTAAATGAAAGAAACTCATGCTCGAGGAGAGGATATATGTTTATACCTACATAATGTAGTTGTAGACACAAACTAATGGACTTAACACAACATCTTTTTTACTTCATCAAATCTTTTAGTCAAGACTTCCAATATTCTTCATATTACATGCAATATTAGATGAAGACAAAGACATCTTGAATCCTGCAAAACCATTTTTATGTGTGTATTAGATGTAGTTAGTATAAGTGAGTTATCCTTAATCTTTTCAATTCTTTCTCCCCCTTTTGACTTCATCAAAATAGAAGAGCATAAACATGAGTTAAGCCAAAAAATATCATGTAGTCATTAAGAGTTCAGAATTCCTGGTCAGAAGCCAGTTAAGATTACAAACCAATAGAAGTAACAAAATAAGTAGTAAAGGAAAAAAAGTCAATAAGGAGCACAACGATTAGAAAGACCCTTGGTGTGTAGTAACAAAATCTTAGTCATCCATGGACCTTGGTTGAACTACAAAACATCCAATTTGCTATAGATGTTTGCTATTTGATTGCTTAGATTGGAAAATTGATTGTTGGTTTCATGATAGTGTTGAAAGGTCATCTGCATGTGCTTCCTCTGGTTTTCTTATAAGGAAGATATTTAAGACAACATTGCCCTTTCAAATTGGTTGTTCATAGTAGGGTGTTGAAACATACAAGGACTTGATGTTGAACTTACATGGACATGAAGCTTGCTGATTTTGATGATGATTCAAGAACAAAGAACTTAGAGAGTTGAAGACTTGTATTCTTGTGTAATAACTCTGTTTTGATGAGTTTGAGTCTGTAATATTAGAGTCTAAGATAGCCAATACATAGTTTACTATTTAGAAGCTTCAAAAACTCATTTTTATAAAAAAGCCACGGGTTTAATCGGTTAAAAGGCCAAATAATCGATTATTACAGAGAGAAAAACCATTTTCTATATCAGTTCTCTGTAATAATCGATT